AAAAAGAGAAGAATTTTTAATTAAAACTAATTAAAAAATAACAATTTAAAATAAAATTTACCAAGATATGATATGCTAAAGCATCTGACTTACAATAAACAATCAATATAAATCTTAAATTATTATACTTTTAAGATAATTACCATTCATGTGACAATAGAATTTACTATTCTTTTTAATATACTTTCTCTAATGAAAGCTCATTAAGGATATATTAATAATATAAAGATTACAATTTATTGATAATTTGATATATATAGGCATTACATAAAATCAAATTTCTACTACTATCTCATTCATGGATTGCTATTTTGTCTAAAAATTGGTCCTTACTTTAAAATTTCTTCAACTCATATTAAAGATTGGCACAAGTATCACATTCATTGTAAGTCAATTTTAATATTTATTGCCATGAGAATCAAAATAGTGATGGTAAAGAGAATAAATTAATAAAAAGTTTAGGATCTATTCATCTATAATCTAAACAAGGAAAATTAAATAACAAAATTAAACTTTGCAAGTTTACTCTTCAAATGAATATGGTTTATTAATTTTATATTGTAACATGTAAATCTAAACGTAAAACTAATTTGTAAAGTAGAAGTAAGGAAGCAATTGAAATGATTGTGATGAGTTTACTATTCAGTGCTAGACTTCAATTGCAAGGATTTTTTTTCATAAAAATGTAATTGAGAAATTGACAAAGCCTAAAAAGAGTAAGAAAAAAACTTTAGGTAATCTCTTTTATAGTTTAATTTCTATCGTAATGTCCTCTACCGTCATAAATAATTATTTGACAACATTATTACCAAATGGATAAGATATATTCTTTTGATTAATAAGATATTGGAGTGTAAAACTAAGATTAATTATAACTTTTGAAATAAATCAAGAACCATACATGATTGGATTATCATGTTAAAATGCTAGAAGTATTATAGCATACAAAATGTAAATTCTAACATCACATCTGAGATAGAAACCAAAAATCATATTAGTTCCTTAAATACTCATCCTCCTAAAGCATTGAATCAAAGGATTTTGAATAAGATAATTTTAAAATATTCTTAAAAGTTTTTGGTATTCATCTTCGTGAAGATGAAATCTCCTTCATAACAATCTAATTTTTCCAAATAAGCCTGATATTTCAAACTACCATATCCTTCACCCAGCCATACTTCATATGCTTGAGGGAAAAAATTAATTATAAATATTAGAAAAGGGCACAGGCCAAATGCGAAAAAGTTAAAATATTAGCTATGGTCATCATGCCTGCTCACTCACAGCAAATATTAGCTGTGCTTAGCGTGCCTAGGCTGCTGAAAGAAACTTGTCGTCCAAAAATACTTGCAAATTCTTTAACTTCAAAAACCAATGGCTTCTCCATCAAATTTGAGAGGAAATGCCAACAATCAACTCAGAAAGTGAATTTATGTGATCTTTCTCCCAAAGAACTCAGATCAACCTTCAAATGTTATTGAAACAAAATAAACTTCAAACTTCAAAGGTCTATTAAATTTTTTAGAGACAGAATTACATTGATTGTACATTTGTAACATGAGTAAAGAAACAAAAAAACTACATAACTATATAAAAAAAATAAAAAATGATAGTTTTTCTTTGCACAACTTAAAGTAATATTTAGTTATTTATTCTTTAATCATGGATAAAGAGTTACCCCCTTCAGTAATAATATTGAAAATTATGCTAAAAAATTCTTAAAAGATTAGTAAGTCATTAAATTAGATGTAAAATTGATGTAATAAATGATATACATTAAGTAGGATTAAGGATTCATATCACAAAAAGTACACTAATGTACCCAACCACCACATAATCTCTTAAATTACTAACAGATATAAGGTTTGTTTAACTTGTCTTTTAAGGATAGAGATTAAATGTATATTAAATATATTTTTTTATTATAAATTTATATTAAAAAATAAAAATTAATTTTTAATT